GTAACACAGGCTCAGGAAAAAAAAATGACGTATGTTCTCCCTCATATGTGGATCCTAGCACACCAAATCTTAAAAGTGAGTATGTATCCAAACATAGCTACAGGAACCAGGATAACAAAAAGGAACCAGGGAGGTAATGGAGAGAAAAAACCTGAGAGAGAAGAACAGTAGGAAATGGGTGTTAATAAGGGAGATATGGATAAAAATGTGTTATATTAAGGGAAGGGGGGAGGGAAGATTATACAAGGAACCTTGGAGATAAGGTGAAAGAAGGAGCTCAGGAGAAGTGTGACCATAGGAGAAGGGTATTATTAAGAGAGAAATTGGAAAAATTGGGGTCTTTTAAATGGGGAAATGATGGCAGATGGTTTAGACAATGCAAGAGATAAATAATACCTAGCTAATTTAAAGGAAAACAGAGGGACCGTATTAATCAAACAACTACTGACAAATTATACATACAACTAGCTGAAGGAATATAATACACATCTAGGCAAGGTTTATCTGAGAACATTTGGTCTTTGCCCAAGCTTTATCTACATGGCACATGGTAATTAAAAAGTACCAGACTGGTGGAACTAACTTTCTTGGATGTTTAACAACCATACTTTGAGGCCTATTGGTCAGAGGGACATAAAGGACATTTTTGTTCCTTGTCCTTCTAGGTCAACTAAGTCCCAGGGGACTATGAGCATCTTTCAAATGTCCTGTAACTGTGGTGAGTCACCTGTCCTCTTGATCAAGGAGGCCATGGAGACCCATCAGATGGACTTGAACCAGTGTCCAGTCTACAAAGAGGAGAGTCAACACAGAGGAAATATTTCCTCCATGCTTCCAAATGAAGCCAGCCATGGTCGAGTAGGATCTTTGACTTATCTTCACATAGATGGAACTGGTAAAAGAAAGGAGATAGGGTATCCTCTTAAGCCCATGTGACCCCTAAGGAACAGATCCTCAAACAGCCTTAAAAGTAAAAATAAATTGGTTTATCTGGGCCTACTGTATGGTCTTAAACACCCCAAAGGAAAGTATAACCAAAGAATAAGTGGGTCAATATAATTCTTTAAGAGTCCATGAGTATAGCTAAAAGCTACATAACAAGAAACAATGCCAGACAGGAGATACCTTCCACTGAGTTGTTGGCCAGGTTGGCCCAAGAAATTCCCAGACAGTAACCCAGCATAGAACTGAGAAAATGAACACCAGACCCCAATCTTATCTAAAGGAATATTGGCAACTGATTGATACTAGATGAGGAAGAGCTGATTTTCCTAAAACAAGGAATTCTGGATAGGCTGACAAGATTCAGCAGATGGACAAGCACTGGGAAATGGCTGGGGGCACCTACAACACAGTCGACAGTAACAGAGATGACAGTGGATGAGCTCCAGCGGTGGGAGGAAGCTATGGCAGGGTGCCATTTGTGAAGTAGGTATATAGATGAATAATAATGTTTGGGATGTTCTGTATGAAATACACACAAAAAACAACAAATAACATGAGATATTTGAGAAGAAAGCATAAAAATGTACTTCATGTTAAATAGTAGAGGTGAAAAACATTACCATGAAAATCTACCTGATGACTTTATATTCATACCCAGGTACCAAGGATCTAAGTGTAACTGACTGTGACTAGTAATAATCAGATACATAGAGATTAGAGATGTATGTGGAAAAATCTAAGTGTCGGTAGCCTTAAAAATTAGTTTTTCTTTATGAAACAGTATATTTTAAAATAAAATGGAGATCTTTTTAAAAGGTTAAACCTCATTCAATTTTATGTCTTATAGGGTCTATACTGAGTTCAATATTGTATAACTGTGTTAATTCAACTGTGAACCTTAAAATTTACAGCCAATTTTGAAAGAGATGCATCTTCGCTCTAGAAATTGTTAATGAATATGTTAATGCTGCAATGAAATGCTTCTTCTAATCATGTGCTTATTAAATAAATAATTTTTAAAAAACCAAAATCTTCAGTGATTAGATAAGAGCTCCCAAATACTTTTGACATTTTTGGCCTTTCGAACAGAGTATGTTGCTAAGAGGCCCAAAGACATTTTGACCTTTAGCCAAGAAACTGGTTACTTTTCTTTGGGGTCTTTTTACCCTAACTGCCTAGCCAATTCCTATGTTTTTTTTTTCTTTTTAATATTTGACTGAGAAAATTCTTTGAAAAAAAAAGCATATTTAAAAACAGACATAAGGGCTGGAAAGTTGGCTCAGCAGTTAAAAGCATTGGCTGTTCTTGCAAAAGACCAAGGTTTGAATCCCAGTGCCCACAATGTGGCTAACAACCATCTGTACCTCCAGTTCCAGGAGATCTGACACCTTCTTCTGTCCTCCACGGGCATTGCACAATAGGGATCCACTTGCATGCATACATACATGCAATATAGTCATACAAACAAAAAATAAAGCAAAAAATACATAAAACATTCTTATGATTACAGAAATGAATGAAAATTATCTGACATTATTACATACCAAGATATGTCAGAAAAGCAAACTAGAGGAAGGTGTGAAAAGAAAAGGAAAATAGTTTGGCAACTAACTGGGTAATTTTCCCTTTCTCTTAAGCAAGAAATTTTACGATGGCATTTGAAGTTAACACTATTTCATTAATACAGCTAATGGGAATTCAGGGGGATGACTTATCTATTGATTTCTAAAGCAATACTATCTGAAATATTTTCCTTAAGAATGGCTTGCAATGCAAACTGTGACTTTGCTTTTAGAAGCAACCAAAAATCCCCTTTGAAATGAAGCCAGTAGAGCAGCTGATAAGGCGCTAGGGAAAATATCTGGACTCTACTAAATAAACTTTATACCAATTGTTTTCCTTTAGGGAATGTTTGCAAACTGTAGTCTCTTCCTTAATCCACCTGCTTACAATTTGGGAGACTTCATTTATAGGCTTGGCTTTGCCTGTTTGTTTATGACTCTTTAATACAGGATTTGGGGTATAGCTCAGGCTAGCATGTCACTTGCCATGCAGCACTTGCTGGCATCAAACTCATGATCATTTTATGTTAACTTCCAAAATTCTTGGATTCCAGGTATGTGTCACCATGTTAAGTTGATGCTTGACTTTACAAAGATTGACTCTGTGACTTTGTGCAAGTGAAGAAGCCTCAGGATGCTTTTGTTGTTGTTTTACAGTCTCTAACATGGGAATATTTATTCCTCTTCATTTCACTAAGTGAAGCTAGAGTTACATTAAACATGAACTAGAGTTGAACTACAATGTATAAGAGGGCAGATACTGTGTCTTAATTAGACTTTTGTTGTCTTTTTTAAATCTAGAGCAGTATCTTCTATTTAATAGATGTTTAATATTTATTCATTTAATGTACAATAAATTAATTCCAAATGAGGAAAGTGAAACACTCCCCCAAGAGGAACTTGTTTGCCCAAGTCTACCCAATTAAACGATGTCAGAACAGAGATTAGAGCCTAGTTCTCAGTAGCACTAATATTTTATACCCAGTCATTTTTATGTTTTTCTAAAGAAAGATGCAGAGACAATTTGAGCGTAAAGCTCACAATTACTGAAGCTCTGTATTCTCTTGATCTTTCTTTCTTTAGGGAATGAATAAGTTCTGATGTTTTTCAAGTTATCAAATATATCACCATTGGTTTGATTCATTTAGTTAATATTTAGTGATAATATAATTTGGAAGCAGTTAAGAAAAATATAAGAATTACTAATGTTCAACAATCTGTTGAAAACCTGAGGAGACACAGTATACATATATGACATAAGTTAGAATCCCACGCGAGCAATAAAGAAAAACTGCTATAAAAAAGTAACAGTTCAGAAGAAAATCTAAACTTCTGTTGCTGGTCATGCTGACATGACCAGGAAAGAGTGGATGAAATTAGATAGTGCATGGGCCTTGAAGGATAAATAGGAATTGGAACAAGAACAAGCTAGAGGACATTTTAGATAGTAGGGTACACAAAGGTACACATGGATAAGGAAAAGAATGTAGAATGGACGTAAAAAGAATGAAGCATTCATACTGGCCACAGCTGAAGACAGAGTTAGAAAGGCAGCTAAATGGAACAGTGATGTGAAAACTTGAAAGCCAGCCTAGATTTGATCCTGGGAACAATATGCAGCCACCGGGGAATTTTTAACAAGGGGGTGGTATACGAAAATGGCAAAGAAGACAATTAGAGTTGGCAAAAGTGTGCAGAACAAACAGGAAAGAGAGATACTGGAAGCAGAGCAACCAGTATTTAGGAGGTCATGGCAACTGTCCAGATGAGGAATGGGGGGCAGCTCAGAGGAAAGTTCCTACAGTAGAAATGGAAAATAGAAAACAGATGTGAAAGAATGCCAGGATGTGGTGATTGTGTAGCCGCAAAACAATTAAGGAATGAAGAATCCATGGCTCCTGGGGGAAGGGGACACTGTCTTCAGTAACAAAGCCACTGACGGCTAAGTCTCTGGTGCTCTAGTAAATACCTCTACCCCTGTGTCCACACAGGAGGCCCTGGTTAAACTCAGTCAGACAGAGAACAAAAGCAAATCAAAATGAAAAGAAATGAAGGGTTGGTGGCCTTGAGCAGGGGATAAGTGAGGGTGAGGGGAGTGAATGTGTCCAGAATGTATTAATGACATGTATGAAATTGTCAAAGAACAAGATGTTTTAAAATTCTGTATTTAAAAGCATCAGTAAGCGTTAATAAATAGAAAGAGGATTCAGTTTAAAGCATAACTGCTTTTACTAAAATCCGAAGGTGTAAATACACTCAAATAATTTTGATTATAATCCCAGCAACCTAAAGGATACAATAGATTTAATTCAGTACAAAACACTCATAGAACACCTTGCAGTATCTTCAGCCTGAAACTACTTACTTCTGTTGAAAGCCCACATAATTATAAGTAATCATGATCATAAACAGAACCCTAGTCAAGATAGTGACTTTAATTTAGTAGAAATATTGTTTCATGTACTGTGGGCTAATTTTGATAGGTATTTTCCCAATATGGGATTCTGAATATAGAAATACTTACCAAAAGAACATGGTATAGTTGGTATCATAATGCACTCTCTTGCCTGGCTTCCAAGAACAAACCAAATGTTGCCAGTTGTAATATATACAATTCATATCCCGAATTTTAGTTTCCAAGCTTCCTAAGAAATGAATAAACTGTGAATAATTGAAAGACATGATGACATATGGTCTGAGTAATTAATGTGCAATTTTATTTCCTTTGGCCTTGCCACTTCATTTAGCAATCAACATAATGAGAAACAATGTTAAAGAAACTATCAAATATCACTTCACTATAAGTGACATATGCAAACCTAAAACTTTTGAGGGCTTATTTACTGACAGTAGTATATGCCAAATATTAAACTGATTTTTCAGGATGCTCTGAGCAACTGAGTAAATACTCATTCATGTTTACTAATAGAGCCTTAATACTGCAGACTATATTCATAAGATGCAGATGTTTTTCAAGCGTTTTTATCTGTTCAAAGACTTTTAAAAAGCCAGTAACGTGCTATTAAGAAAGGTGCTATTTCATGAAATGTTGTCACAGGGTGTATTGTTTATAAAAATTACATATATAAAGGTTAATGAAATTATTCCCTACATAGATTCTGGTAGTATCAAAAGTGAACAAGGGAAAGTGTTATAACCTTGGTCTGATATCTGATAAGAAGCTTCTGTCCATGAACTTTGAATTTCTGATCCGTTTGCACACTGCTTTGGCAAATGTGTTCGTATCTTTCCTTCAATGCCTTTGTTAAGATCAAACCCATCTTTGTAAAATAGATTCTTAGTAATGATGGTCTGTTTGATAAAAAGATGAAATACAGTCAAGTTTCAAATGCATGGTATAGTGAGCCACATTAATAAGAGTAAGCAATTATAAATATGTATGATACTCCTGATGATTATCTGTCCTAGTGCCCCAAATATATTTCTTGTAGAGATCACCTCTGCATATCATTTTATTTGATAAGGTTGTTCAAAACAAATAAAACCAAAAACTTCTAGTAGTGAAAAAAAGGCTCTGTGATAAGAACATAAGCCAACTTGGAGTTAAATAAATAACTTTCACAAACCATGTGTACATTACATGTTAAATCATTTTTCAACTTTCAGATGTGCTATAAAATCTTAAGGCATCATATAAATTAAAATAAACTCTTGGAAGTAGCTGGAGAAAGGACAACAAATTGTAAACTATTAGAAGATAAAAATCATATATTATATAGTCATATTTCTGAAACTTACCAGCTGATCTGATACAAAAATTTGCTCAATAAATATTCAACTTGAATTGTTCATCAAAACTACCTAGCTGAATTATGGAGGTAATAGTATACTTTTTGCAACAGAGCTCTGAATTAACACAATAAGTGTGTAATTGTGTATTTATTGAGTATTCAATAAACTTTCACTGAGATATTATACATATAAAGAACCATGCTATATTCTGTGGTCTGGATGCAGACTTGACTCCTACAAAGAAAATGCACACAGTACAGTAGCATATGAGTAACGTATCTAAGTATGTAAGTGCTGTGAATTGAACATGGTTTGAGTGCGTCCTTGTGTTTGAACCTTCGTCTTCAGTGTGGTGATGTTGGGAGTGTTGTAAGACATTGGAACCTTTAAGAGATGAAGATGAGGCTGGGGAGATGGCGCAGAGGTTAAGAGCACTGACTGCTCTTGCAGAGGACCCGGGTTCGATTCCCAGAACCCACATGGTGGCTACGAACCATCCTTAACTCCAGTTCCAGGGGAATCCGAACCCCTCTTCTGACCTCTGCGGCATTGCATGACACGGGTGCATTCACATACATGCAGGCAATACACTCATCATACACATAAGATAAAACTAATAAATAAAATATTTTTTAAAAAAGAGATAAAGCCCAGTAGTGGTATATGATTAGGTCTTTGAAGATACAACCCTCAGAAGGAATTAATGTAGTTCGCATGAGATGTCAATAAGTTTCTGAAAGAGTAGCTTATCACAAGAGAGCACTCTTGGTACTTTCCCATTCTCTGGCTTTCTGCCCCACTATTAGATCCCTTTCACAGATGCTCCCAGTGTGATGTCATTCACCATGAGACCCTCACCAGAGGTTGAACAAATGGGGCCATATGATCTTAAAATTTCAGTCTCTAAACCTGTGAATTAAATAAACTTCTTTTCTTTTTTGAAAAT